AACTATAAAGGGAAAAAGTTCTTAAGTCACCAGATGAAATCAGTTTCCGTTTTAGGGATCTGATATTGGTGCTACATAGCAACACGGTGGCGATAGTGATGGAGCGGGTGGCGAAGGGCGACTGTCCTTAGCATTGCTCTAGCCGAGCCAGAATTTTAGACTACCGTTTGGTTCCATCCCTTCCCCCGTGAGTGCCACATCATCAGTTAATGCCACGACATATCCTAAGTGACTATTTATTTTGTTAGAGTTATGAGTTGAATAACCAAAATGTTGATTTTGATAAAGTTGGATGACTACCCATGAAATTTAGCCTTTAATGAACCATGAACATTTCTGGAAAAATCTAATTTATATAATGGAATAAGAATCCGGCCGAAAATATATATAATGGGATAAGAAAGTTTTTATTCTAAAACGAGAGAAAAAAAAAATCAATTCTAATTTTGGTTGATGAACTTTTATCATCAATCCTAATAATAAGATTTTTAATATTATAAAATTATAAATTCTTTAAAATGTTTGTAGCAAATTGTCATCTTTACTATAATTGAAGAAGATGCAATTTTTCCTAATTACATGCATGTTTAAAATAATCCTGTTTCAACTAATTAGAACTTAGTGTTTCTTTAAAAAATTACATCTTTATTAATTTTAGTGCAAATGACAATTTGGTCTAAACTTTAAACATTTTAAAAAATTTATGATCCTATATAGTAATAAAAATCTTATTTTAAGATTGATAATAAGAATTTAAATTTTTATAACAACTAGGTAATACTAATAATTTAATTCATAAAAAAATCATCTTTTGAAGATGAAGTTTACATTCACTTACTTTTCCATCAATATGAACAATTAAATTCTTAACAATTATTATTTTTTAAATGGAGTGGTTCGGAAGCTCCTCAATTTCTTGAACTACAGCAATCAACTCAAAGTAGGCCTCAGATGGCAATCGGTCATGTGCCGCAAACAAACGGTAAGTCTTTGTTTTTCTTATTCTCACATCTAGTGAGTTTTTTTTTAATTTTTTAAACAGGGTTACATGTGTGCGGAGTTTTAGGGAAGGAAAGAATTTGAACATAATTTAAGTAAGAAGTCTTACATAAGAAATAATCACTTACACTGCCACATGAGAAACAATTACTTACCCAGCTAAGATTTCTCCTCACATTTAACGAGTATAAAAGTGAATTTAACTCAAATTTGGAGTCTTTAATCTTATTATAAAAGGATCATAAAAGTTAAAAAATGCTTTTTCTCTAGCATATACTTTAAAATTATAATTCCACGAGTTTCATCTTTTTTAACAATTTGTATCATCGTGACGTTCAAAAATCATTATCAATTGAAAGAGATATCAACATCAGTGAATTAATTTTACTTTTT